TTCTAATTTCTCTGCAGTAAATCATGCTTCAACTTCACAGTAACAGGGGAACACCGGTTTGAAAGGTTCGTAACGAAACTCGTTTACTTGACATTTCATGAGACCAGCATAGCGGTTGCTGTCGACAACTCTATCACGGAATACGGGCACGGAAATAACTCTGATTTGTGCTCTGTACTCTCGCCGAGTTACGAATCAAACTTAAAATACAATTCGCGGTTTCTATCGCGTCGAATCCTTCGTGGATACCTCAAGTTTCATGTTGAAGATTCATGTGACCGAAGCCGGGAAACACCTCCACGTAAACATTCAAGAAACGTTACGATCGCCTTAACTTCAACGGTCGATGCACCACAGCCGGATTAAATTCGCAGTTTCCAAGTTCTAGCGTCGCAATGCCGCGCGCAAATCGGCGATCGGCAAGCGCACAAGTTCAAACGTAATATACGTATAGGAAACTGAATCGACTCTCATACTCTGCGAAATTATATCCCACGTACTCGACTATCTGCATGTATGAAGTGATAGGGAATAAGGAGAGAGCATGCAGAAGAACAGGGAGGAAAGTGCTTCGAGGGAAGACTGAATTACCCGAGGGGCAAAATGCCGTTATAGCTATACTCGGTGAGGTTGCGAGAAGGTCGCGTAGCTATTTGTAATTGTAATTAGCGAGCCGGCTAATTCATTACGACACCAAGAAATGTATGGCGCGCAGCATACTACTTAACTACGGAGGATGCGGAATCCAACAAGAGAAAGCACACAGATGCTAATTATTGTAAGCACCGACATATATGACAAATCATCGCATTTCGGGATGAGATACGCAGAGAGCAAAAGGGAGATCTAATAACGAGAAAGTAGAATATGGTAGTTACGCGAGGAAAGAAAAATACAGCGGAAAAAGAGACACAAGAAAATGCAAAGCTCTGGTAGGATTTCTTGCAGAGATTTCACATAAATTTTTAAATGAAACATACACGTAGTATCCTCGGTGTTTCGTATTTACTTTTATATGTCGAATTAACATATAGCAAACTTTTCCTTTAAGATACTTTCGGAACTTAATATTTTTTTGTATCATCTGCTAAAAATATGAAAAACTTTTTTCAAGTTTAGTTTCAAATATATTAGAAACTAAACCATAAAAATAATCATAAAAATTTATAAAAAGTAATATTTAATTAAATTCTAATTAAAGAGAAACTTTATATTAAATTAAAGAGGCCAAAACTGAAAAAATAATATACACCTAAAACATCTGATATACGTATAATATTATAATATAAAACTAGAAATATATTTCACGAAAAATTCTAAGCTGATGTTAGATCTCTTTTGCCATAACGAAATGGAGCGACTAAAAGCTATCCTTATATCGGAAAGTCTCAAACTAACGAGCTGAGTCGCTTTTGAAATTCGAACATAACGAGCTGAGTCGAGCTGTGGAATCTCCATGAACGTCAGGAAATAGAACGAGATAAATTCGCGAAATCATGAAACATGCTGGACGGCTCGAGATTGTCGCGCTTGTCATCTGGGAAAAAAATACTGCGAGACACTGCGACGCGCATCGCACAAAAGAAGATAGGAGAGTGTGTTAACGAAACTACAGTTAAAGAGTGTGCATTTAACTGCTACTGTTCTTAATTTCCCCCGGTTTATCTCCCGGGGTTAGCCTATCCGTAGATACTTAACGTCCTTTGGGACTATAAACACAATGGCTCTGCGTGCTCTGCTGACTTTCGTCGAACAAACCGGTTGAGAAGATTCAAGGGATCCAAAGAACAATAGCTTTTCTCATTCGTTGCTATTCGGTATAAATAAACTGCATATTGTTCTTTTAGTTATCAAAACTTTTGATTACAATATTTATTATTATTAACAATTAATATTATAATTAATGATATTAATTGATTTAAATAAGCGAATATAATAAGTAAATATGAGAATATTTTATGAATGTTTTTCAGATTTTTTCGTGACGTTTTTTAGATATCTGTTGTTTGTGATATTAATTAATAAAAAATATTATTAAAAAATATTGTATCTCACAAATCATTTTTTTCATGTAAAATATAAGGTAACAAAGCCAATAGAGTTTATAATCGCAGCAGTTTCATTGAGGTAAAACCGAAGAAAAAACAATACGATATTGGTATCACGGCTACAAATTATGTGAGAATAAGAAAAATTATCTCGTAGTTAATATGAGGTTGTATTTCAATTCTTTTTATTTTTCCGCTACCGTGTTTATTTTCTGTAATGTATCAAAGAAATTATATTTAATTCTCGTAAAAATCTAATTTTGCAAATATATCCAGTATTTTACATTAATATTCTAATGTAACGAGACGACTCATATACGAAATGTTATTCTCTATTTAACCAACTAAATAAATAAATCTTCTGTTGTTTAAACAAAAGCAAAATATTTCTTGTTTTTACACTTTGCTTATAAAAGCAAAAATATATTTTTGTAGAATTAAATTATATGAAATGTCTTATAAATACAATTTTAAAGAAATAATTTTGAGATAATTTTAATTATTCTAATTTTATGCACAGTTTGTTCCTCCATTTTCTGATTTATGTACTGCGTGATTTCGAACATAACAAATATCAGTGTTAAAACTGTAAAGTTTCATCCATTCTAGCATACTTCAATTACACAAGAAAAGCGCGAGAGCAAAAAGGAAAAGAATGGTCGTATTTTACTATTGTCGTAGCAGGTTTGTACGACAGTCGTAAAAACATAAGAAAGTGCTTCGTGTAATTCCAACTAAGTAATTTGTTTCATAACCATTTAGAAAGAATAGTCAAATGACATTAAGAATGCAATATGAAATTTAAACATGTGCCACCAGCAATAGAAGAACGAACGTGTTATTTCTAAAATTTTCAATTATTTTAACTTTGCTAATTCCTGAAGGAAAATACTTGTATATTCTTATCCTTTGCACATCAAGATGTAGATCGTACAAATACGCATCCGTTGATATTTCATATATTTTGTCATCCTTGCATACTCTTGCATATATACTCAAGCATATACTCGAGTATCTTATGTATCCAATGGTGCTACCCCGAGGGCACAATCTTATCTACCAACTAGTTAAATTAGATTACAAGATCTGGCCTTCAACCTAGGATGATTACTAATCGAAGTCGATGCAGCGCGCATCGATCTACATCAAAACTCGTAATATAAAGCGAGCATACGATAGATCTTAAAATGGAATTTGAAATGTTATATACTCTATGTATGTTTAATCCCTTCACTCCAACCGTATCTTTTATTGATGCCTAGAGTTAAAAAGTTAAAAATCTATGAGGCTACAGATAATATGTACACAGAGAAAATTTCATATAAAAAATTACTATGTACGGCAGTAGCTGTGAACTATGAAGGAATTATAAAAATTTTTACTATGTTTTTTTACATAATGACCATAGTACTTAAATTTATAATTCTTTTTATGGTCCGCGATTACTGTCGTATCATAGTATTTTTTTATTTAAAATTTTTCTCCGTGTAGAAACATGGATTAATAAATTATTGGAGAGGGAGTTTAATAATAATCCCTCTATAAAACTCAAAGTTATAAATTCATAGTTATATAAACTGCCAGATAAAATTTTATGTCAAAATTTGAAAACCATTTGTAAATTCATAGATTTATGAATTCATAAACTCCAGATCTCATACATTACTAAGATCACAGGTGGCCAGATGGATCAGATTATTAGATTCAATAATTCATACATTTATAGACTTTCCTTTCTTTATACATATATACGAAAAGTAATATGTAGATGTCGTTTCGGGCAGACAAGAACGTTCAAATTTGATGTAATAATTAATAATACTAATATAAAACATTAATTATGACGGAATTAAAATGTGGAGGGGAATTGAAAAGCTGAAAAAGATAATACGGATGTTACATGGACGTTCACAACTGATCTGTTGCGGAATTCCACGAATTTTTTTTCTTGAATGGAACGTGTTCTTCGAATCTCACAAAGATAGAAAAAAATATGCGCATCCCCGCGTTCCCAAGAAGCTCTTTTCCACGAGGATAGACCTCCCGGCGAGTTGCCTCGGCGAGCAATCTCACGAAATTGCACCGCGCGATTTCACGTCGTTCCGTCGACGTTACCGTTCGCATTCCCAACGTTCCCTTTTTCCGAGTCCTTCGACTTTCATTTGACTGACGTGAGAGGATGAGACGAAAAGGTGAAGAAGTACGTAAGAAAAGGAACGGTAGACAAAAAAAAATCTAGAGTAAATGGGGAAAGAAAAATAAATAATAAAAACAAACTCCCTCCCTCATTTCGCAATCAATCTATATGCATCATTAAAATTAATAGATTCTCGAAACGCAAATAAGGATGTATAGTATGTAACTTTGATTTTGCAGAAATGAGCATTTGAAACTAAAACGCGAATATCATTGGATGCATATTGCTTGTCTCTCCAATAACGTACTTGTACAGATAGATGTTCCGACTTCCTATTTTTCCTATTTCCATCTACCTCGTGAAAAAGTAGGCCCAGTGAGGATTAAACTCGAGTCCAAGCTTTCACGTAATATATGGCGAGTTACATCGCCGGGCCAAGCATGTCATTTAGTGACTTCGCTCATTCGTATGCATGACCAGTGTACTCCAGTTGACCGTAACTCACACATATTCAGATTTTATAAAAGTTTACCGTCAAAAGCACTACTATATATACTATGTATACTAGATATATTTAAAGTCAATTTTTTATTTACACCGTTTCTTTCTCTCAACATATTTTTTTGTAGAAATTTTTATGTAAACGCAGAATTAATAACGATAAAACGTGAGTTACTCACAAAACCAAACATGTATAAAACAATAAAATAGCAATAATGTAAATCTTAGTTTAGTAAATATAAATACAGCTTACGGAATCAAACAAAAAGCTATCATGCAGATGATGATATAAAATAATCATTTAAAACACTCACCCGCGCTTTCGGTGTCTGCTTCAATCCAATGGCTGGTTGGCTGCGATTACTCTGTAAAAAAAAAAGGATGAAGGCTTTTGTTAGTGGAATAACAATAAATTTACAATGATCAACATTGAATGCATATTTGCTAAACTATATTGTTTATGCCGCCATATCGACAGGCACTCTTAATCCGGAAAGTGAAGAGACGCAAACCGCGATAAATACACTATCAAAATACAAACTCGCGCGTCTATTCCGGAGTAACTTTATATCGTAATTTAAGCGTACATTTATGACAGAGCATGCATGCGAAATGATTGAAAATGCATCGGGCGGATACTCAGATTCAAAATGCACGTTTCCGACGTTCGATTCATCGTGCGATCTCCAGCGAACGGCCGGAAGAATCTATCTTGGTGTAGAAAATGGGTCGCGAGTCGACCCCGATAGTTTGCCTCCCTTTATGGTGTTCAGCGTGCTATTTCCGAATCGCAAATAAATCCGCTTCGGATACGGCAAAGCGCCCTTTTGCGCGGTATCACCGCGACCGACGTGACCGGCTACAAACGATAAAACGATAAATTCACGGTGAAATGTCGACCCGGACGGTATCATCGCGGACGCTCGTCATTGCTGGAAATGCGTAAATCTTAATTGGCTTGCGTCGGGACGTGCTTGCAACACGTAGCAAGTAACCGCGCCGCGGACGACAGCCGTCCGGAGCGGGCGAACTAAATTCACGCTGGGAACTTATTCCGGCAGAATGACGAAGCGGCCGAAACAGAGTCACGTATCTCGCGGCAATTTAATTAAGCCGTCGCGCTCGCGATATATTCCGGCGTTGATTAAGCTGTTTTCGGCAAACGTCGATACGCATTTTTATCCGTACTGATTGCCGCTGCATTTGCGACGTGCCAGCTTATCTTTTTCACAAATGTTTACTGAAACGTTACAAAGCTGTTCCTAAATTTCCGCGGTAGTTTTGCTTTTTGTGCAGTTTTATTTTCGTGCAACGGAAAATTCAATATGTAAATTGTAAAAATAAAGATTCCTTAACAGGATTTTTTCAAATTTGTTCATTTTGCGTAATGTTACAATATTTTTACACAGAAAAATATTCATATAGGAAAAAATGGAAACATTCTATATATTATATATATCCTTCACGAATGCGATATTTGCAAAATAGAGAATGTAAAAAAATCTGCCCTTTTTCAACATATAACTCATTTACAATCTACTACATTTATAAAAATAATTTAACGCTGGATGCAAGACTAAAAAATTTTCGAAACTGTATCTGTCCACTGAAACGAGCTTTTAATTAAATAATATATTTTTCTCTTATGTACTAATAAACTTTGTAACAGCAAATCATACTGTTTAAATTGTTTATATAAGATATTACATCTTTCAATTAAAGAACAAAAATAGAATTCTCCTAAGAAAATTATTTCTGTTAAAGAAAATATTTTCTCATTAAAAAGAAAGTTTAAGTGTAATCCTACGATAATGCTTGCGCAATTAAATGTATACTGAAATTTTTCTTGCATCCCCTTTGAATAATCTCGAGCATAATTTGCACTAGGCATGTTGATTATATCAAATTTGCATTTAAATATGCTCGGATTGCAACTTCCTGCAGCATTCGGAACGGAAATGAAAGCATAGCGCAGGCCGTCAGTTTCGATGCTTGGGTGCCGCACCAGCGATAATTAGCACGCATTTAGCGGCATTTCGCTTGTCCAAAATCGGCTAACAGATATACTGAGAAACAAATGAGCTTTGTACGAGACGTGATAATTAAGCGGTTTATCTCGATTAATTCCAGATAATTAATTACGCTTGGCAATTAGTCCAATTGCTGCGACTGTCCAGCGCAACATGAGTGGCGGGGCCCTACTCTTCGTCTCTGTTCCCCGCAATTGCAGTCGGCGAAACCGCGACAACTGCACCGTCCTTACAGCTTCGACGCTCCACGGATTTTGCTAGTCGCCCTGAATCGCTAAAATTGCCTCGTAAACACCGACAGAACCGGACTTAAGCGTTTCCCCAGTTACATTTCCACTTGGAACCGCGACCCCAATTTAAGCCGTCATCTACATTTTATTACGCAATAAGCAACCGACGAGCGTAAATTACGACGCAAATATTCTCTTGAATTTGTCTTGTTTTAAATGCAAGGAAAATTTCCCGGTTTAGTGTTGGCGTAGTGATTTTGTCGTCGGAATTACACGATTTAAACTTACGCGTTAGATTCTCCGATAGTGGAGAACAATGTGAACAGTGAAACTTTTGAGTGAAAGAAATTAAGTTTGGGCAGTTTAAGTTTCGACGCGCTTCCGCTCCGCGACTTCGCCTCCGTAAATTTGACAATAATCCGTCCACCGCTATTGCTGTATTCGTAATTACTCGGAGTTTATCATCACTTGTTTCGCGCCATGTCACGGATATAATATTCTAAAGCAACTCGACCTACTTCCAGTAATTACGGACCGTCCGAGCTTTCTTAACCTGCTCGTTTCTCTGACTTCCCATTCCTCAATATTCCTCACCATTTTCCCTTCATTTCATGCGCTCCCTTTCTCATCTAACTGTCTAGATGCGACTCGCGTCAAAAGCATCACAAAGCCGGAGAATAAAAAAAAAAGAGCCGGGAAAGAATGAAAAGGGGACGTATAAACAATAAGACAAGAACTTCGAAAAATCATAGCCGGCTGACGGAAACGCATCGGTGCAGCTATCTCGCATCGAACTCCGTCGACGGAACTTTTTCTTTTCGCTTACGAGTCTCCGCCTCGTGAGAGAAGTTTCGACGGGCGTTTACCCGGGCGAATTTATCGGCATCGCGGTCTATTAACTCGTAATGGCATTAAGTCAACCTGCCGATATCCGATATGCCGTAAAATTATTTTCTGTTCGAGCGCGTTCCGGATTACGCGACAGCTTCGCGCGGACTGCTTCTTAACCACGCGCTTAATAGCGACCGTAATACGAGCGCACATCAGCTATGCTTCATACAAAATAAGGGCAGAGATTAGATGGAATAAATAAGTCTACAAAACAAGATGTAAATCGAATGGCGCATAAAAATAATATATAAATAACAAGAAGTACACTTATATTGGTGAGATGACAAAAAATGTGATGAATAAATTATATGTATACGTTTTATAGATTATTTCCTATACTATTTCATATGCTTATGTTTTAATTCCAATCAATCACAGTGCGTGACACTTCTTCCATTATTATGAATAAAAATTAGATAGTGAAAATAGAAATTATTCAACCATTTAGAATCACGTCTGATTTAAAATTGATTGCCTTCTTTCCATGCAGAACTGTTTCTACGTTGAAAAGAAGCAATAAAAGAGAAGAAATAATGCAGGAACAATCCTACATTATTATTTTTTTATTTGTAATTCCTCATTGCTTTCTTTCATTTTTTACAAGAAATACAATCGTTTTATGTCTGTAAAAAAAATGATAAAAATTTAAATTACAAAAAATATATCCTGAGAAAGAAATGTAAACAATTTTATAATGTAAATCGTAATAGTGACTAAAAAATTGTTGTAACAGTAACTTGCATTATTTTGGCAGTGATGGCCCCTCGCTAGTTCTACCTCGACATTCCGCTATTTCGATATTCCCCGATGAATACAACATCTGCATGGTTTCATCATCAATGTCTAATTCATTAGTAAAAATTCTACCAGCGTATAATTCTCTGTTAGTTCTGGGTGAAATCCGCTGCTGATTGGTTGACAGACAAGGATTGGTTAGTTGCTACTACGATTAATTCAGCCTTGAGCTGGCGCTAGGAGCGCTTGAATTGAAAACAAATCAATCCGGTAGAATGAAACGTGGCATGAGAAGCTCCGGGTATCAGAACGCTCGGAAAATCCATTGGCGGGTCACGTACAAAGGAAACGGGAATTCCATTTCGCGGAGGAAACCTCTGCCGTCTCCGATGTGCCATTCGGATAATTATTCAGTCACAGCGAGTGCTTTGGACGGTTGCGATCATAGAAAGAGGATGATATTTGATTCCGGACGAGAGAAATGCGCTTGCACACTCATATGCTGTTTTAATATCAACTCGTCCGATTTAACGCGATTCACTTCATCTATTTCTCCAGCATTTCGCCCTTGTAATTACAATATTTTAGTAATTAATAGCTTTCATAACATAGCTCAAATAAAGCAAGATTTTAATCTCGCATTTTAATACGCGTTCAAAATCGAGCATGGATATTCGCAAAGAAATGACAGGCCGTAGATACACTGACAATAACTTTATAATAATAAATCTTTTATTGAAAACTAAACAGAATCTGTATGATAATTAGATATACCGACACGGATGTGCATTGCAGCGGCAGATAGACAATTGATTCTCGATTAATTATACTACATACATTTCTGCACGATTCGAACTGCTCTGACCAAATCGATGATAGAATTGTATTCCATAAATTGTACATTACCCGTCCTCGGCATATACATTAAAATTATTTTACTTCTCTATGCTTCGCCATACATTTGGTTCGCCCGACCGCATTGATCAGCAAACTCACACGAGAGTTGACCATGTTGCAGTCGTGGCACACAAGAAAATCAATGATCGTTTAACTATTTCAGTACAATCCAATTTTTCTTCGCTCACTACGGAATTGTCGGTAAATTTTTAATTACGTCCCGTGCACGCGCTTCAGTTTAGTTAGTGCTTTCATCGCAAGTCTGCCCAACCAAAGTACTACTGAACTTTTGTCTGTAAATTTCAGTTCTGAGCGCAAGAGCTCGCAGACAGTAATGGAATGATGTTGGCCTGTTCTTGCGTCTGTTAGACACTAGAATAGAAATCCCAAATTCTACTGTCTGACATCTTGAATTGTATCTTTGCATTGTCTTTGTATTGCATCTTCCGATATATATATACATATAACTGCCGTTCATTAATGACTTTTTTGTTTGCTTAAAGTAAAACTGTATTTAACATAAAAGATAGAATAGCATATATTACAAATTGTTAATTTATTCTTATTCGTAGTACTTTTAAT